AGAAGGAAGCAGTCTTTAAATCTTCATTGTCTTAATATGTATCAAATGATCGTCAAAGAGTAAAATGATAAGTAATGAAATATTTAAGTTTGCCTAGAAAAATAAAGGAGAAATGAATCAATATTTAACTTATCAATAAACAAATTAAAAAAAAACTAATGAAAGCAAATCAAACATAAACACAAAAACATACAATACTCAACCATAGCCCAATCCTTAATACTTCCCATTTGCGCCTGCCTTTTATAGATTGACTCTTATTGACTTTATTTTGGGCTTTCAAGTCTTCACGATGATTTAAGCAATAGATGCTTTACAGGGATATAAAATATTTCTCATTGGTTTTGTTATCGGCCTACAAACCATCGCCGCAACAATGATTCCCAACTCTGATTTCAGACTTTAGATCTCAGACATTCTAGTTTTATTTCCACTTTGATTTCCCGTCCTTCGTCTTCCGACATTTATCTTCGATTTCCGAATTAAGACTTCTAATTCCGACTTCAGACTTCGCGATCGTATTTCGGACATTTTATTTAACAATTCGGAGTTTACTTCTCAACTTCCGGCTGTGGATTTTTAATCTCCGCCTTCAGACTTCGGATTTTGAACCTTCAATTTCGCAGTTCGGAGTTTTTATTCGGACCATCCACTTTTAATTTCCCAACGTCCGGCTTCGGAACTTCAGACTTCGGGTTTCTGACATTCTATGTTGTCGTCACAGCTCGGAGTCTTATTTTCGACTATATTCCGACTCAAGATTTCGGATTTCGCACATTCAATTCCGGTCACTAACGTATAATTTTCTGACTTCCGGCTTTGCACCTTCTTATTTACGACTTACGACTTCAAAGCACTCACTTCTATGTCTAATCTATGACCGCGAACTTTCGAAATCCGTCTTCCAATGTAAACCTTCGATCTCCTTTTTTTCCGATTTCGACTCTTAAGTGCCATTTTCAACATATGCTAACTTGAAAGGTCCAACGTTCTTCTCGAGTCAGGAATGTACAATCAGAATATAAGGGCATTTTAGTTATTTAAAAATAACCTAGAAAAGAGGGAAAATACCTTTCAAGGTCACAAGTTTACTAAGATTCTGCCCCTTTAAACCCTAAGAGTTACCAGCATCTAGTTCATGAAACGAAACGGAATTAAATGAAATGGTCTTGATTTTTAACAAATTCTCCAGTTCAGCACCATAAGGATACACAGAGGACAGTATTTAGAATATGAAGTCCATGTTATTGTGTCGAGTGTTAAACAAAGGAGGTAACAGTTCGCAAACAGCAGGTAAAAAAAGGAAAATAATTAGCTACGGCTAACGAATAGATGCTAACGAATCGAATGGTGCATAAGTTGCTTGTACCGATCAGACCCCTGCATTGGGGTATGTATCTCGTACCAATCAGATCACAGCATTCCCTCAAGGACTACTTCGAAAGGACACAATTTCAAATCTTAGTAACGACCTATTTTACTCTCTATGTTTTAGCATGATAATAGACTGACGGTGCGTAACTCAGGGAAATTTCTCACATATTCGAAACTTGATTTGAAAGTCTCTTGCCACACAAAAGGTGTATGTCACTCGTAAATCACGACTCCGAAGTACCATTTTCAACGTCCAGTAATTTGGTAGATTATGATCAGAGGCTGTCGAGAAAACAAAAAGATCTTTTAGTATAACCATTTTCTTTAAAAAAAAGAGTTCCCTCTTTCCCACTTGGCTGGAAAGTTCTCCGTTTAATTTAAACTCCGGCGAGATTGGAAAGCTGGTCATCCCGATTTTCACAAATCACAGAAAGTATTAATTACAGTTGAGTAAGTAACAGCTTTGAAAGATAAAAACAATTGCTGAAAATCCTATCCTTTTTCCTACAATCATCATTCTGAATTGATCATTTGAAAAGCATATGTTTTTTCTCTTTTCATCCGGAACGTCACGTTTTTCCAAGTAGAAATCGGCATTCGAAAAGCGAATTACCGAAGCACAGCTTTTGTCTTTCCTTTTCCGCTTTTAAAAAAAGGGAGGTTTTAATTACTCCAGAATACAGTTCATCGATATTGTGGTTTTTGGCGATCGATTAGTCAAATTCAAGATCAACAAGATTTTAAAACATGGCTTATAAGCACTGAAATGTAATACAGCTTGTCGCCCTTGAAAGTATATTTATTCGAGCGCCTCGTATGCGCAGGATTTGTTTAAACCTTGGTTAAGATATCATGCACGCATTCCTAATTTTAATCAATTTTTCAGCCACCAGCAAAATTTTCTGGTCTTAGATCTTTACTGACAGTTAAGTACACGCTATTTCTTAGCAGAGTGTTAAAAAATTTTTACCAATTCTTAGCTTTCATTTGAGCCCATGCAGGAATTTGAACTGTACATACAAAAGCCTTATACGCTCATGGACTTACCCAAAAGTTGAACAGTGGAAAGAAGAAGTGAAAAGCAGGGGTGATTTAGTGATGGTGCAAGGAGCGAATTTTGGGGTCATAACAACGACTCGGAAATTTGCTTTCAGCCATTTTCCAAAACGAGCTAATGTAACTTTTGTTTAAGGCTGCTACGAATGACGGGAATGTTCGCGGACGGACTCACGGGCATGATAACAAGGAGTCTACGTTGCCTTGGGCACCGTAGATTCAGAATAATAATTATAAATACATAAATAAAACAGACAAACAAAAAAACAACTCAACATTGAGTATTCGCTATCAAAGATATTTCCTGCTTAAGTTAGTTATTTGCGCTTTTTTTTTTCTTTCATACATGTTTGATGGTATCATCAGAGCAGATCAAAGATCACTATAATCAATATTAACTTTGAGAGGAAAGTCATATCTTTACTATGATAACTATTTGACATTTGACTCCTCAATCTGGATTCGAAAAGTGATTTTTGGTAAAATATGAATAAAATCTTGATATGCTTACTGGAACCAAAATGATAAACAATGGCGGTTACTGAGCTGGATTTTTTTATTTTGCAGACACATAGAGCCAAGATACAAATTTATTTCCCGGCATCGTTTTGCTTTCCTATTAGGGAGGACCAATAAATTGCCAAAGCGGCAGAGAAGTCGGTGAGCAGTTTTTATTTTTGCTTTATTTCAATTACAAATTTCCATTCCAATTCTCTCACTGAGAATAACAGTCGTTTCGCTTACGGGTCGTTTCGCCTACTATCTGCTCGCCTACGTCTACAGTCGATTTGCCTACGTCCAACATGTCAGTTCGCTTACGTCTTAAATCTTAAATCTTTTATCTTGATTCTCAGTTTTTCTGCGAGGTTCAACAAGGACTTTTCAACAATTCAATTTTAAAGCTTTGACATATGGATTGTAGGCGAACTGACATATTGGACGTAAGCGAACCGACTCATGACGTAAGCGAACAGACGGTAGGCGAAAGGACCGGTTACCCCCTCTGATGTTCTTATACAAGTTCTTTTTCTTCCGATAAAAGTCCAAAAACAGTATTGTAAGTAATATTATAAATTTGATCTCAAGTCTTATATCTTAATGTTTATTTAACGATGCTATATTTAACTATACCAGGTCTAATTCTTCTAAGAATAAGACTTATTCTTATCAGAGGCCAATGGTCTCTATTTACTCATGCAACATACCCAATGCATATCTTTTCTCTTTTCACGAATCATTCGATCTAATCCTGGAAATTTTTTAATGAAGTCAATGGTTTTCATCACTTCTTGATGGCAATTATTCAGTAATTACGGACTGAAACACGTTGTTTTAAACATATAAGTCGATATCAAGCTTTCTCGTTGTTTCAACAGAACCAAAGTAGATAAGACTGCCATGAACTTCAATGAATAAGTCTTAAACTTAAAATAAGAACAAAGTTGTTTTCTCGTCTTGTCACGAGCGTTGGATAAAGAAAAAATTCTGAGTCCCCTTCGGATTCTGTCCCCCGATGCTCTGCCACTGAGCTACAGAGATGCTCATCTTAGAGTCTCTGTGGCTCGATGGTTCTATTCCTCACGGGAACTCAGAATTTTTTCTTTGTCCCGCGCTCGTAGCGAGACGAGTTTTATCGGCTTTACACAAGAAAGTACTCTCAGAAACAAATGATCTCTCAACTTTTTGTTCATGAAATTTGAGAATGGTCGATATCTCTAAAGTTAGACATTGCAAGCATTTATATAACTTAAGCTTGGCAAATGAAAATCAAGGATAAAAACAATGAGGTTTTGTTGTTGTAAGGACGTCATTCCCAACTTGGAAATTATATTCGTGAGTAGTCAGAAATAGATCACTAGATATATTACACCAATATCATGTTAACACTATATTTAAAGTCGAGACCGACTGAACAGTGAGATATGGTATCATTCTTTTAACTAGGAACCTTACCTGAGTGAACTTTACAAGAAAAACTTATTGCCAAAGCTTTAATGAAGGAATTTTGCAGTTTTAGTCTGCAATACAGTGTCTTTCGAAATATAATTAGGCGCTTCCTATTCTTGTCTTTCTCTGGTGTAAATACCTGCAGTGTGGGTCTTTAACCGAATTTGCATCACACACTCACCTCAATATTTATATCGGAAAAACTATGTACTGCTATTTACCATTAGTGTTTTTTTTGCACTGTAAGTTTTCGTTGAATGTTTCTGCTATAAAAAAGAGTGTATCTTTTAGGTAAATCATGACGCATTAAGGGTGATCGAGAATTACCACATCCGACCGCCTCTCACCAAAATTAATTCAAGAGACGCACTAGTGAATATAGGTTCCAGGTCGAAAGGAAGCAATGCTCTTTACTGAGTGACGCTGAAGTAATATAGGTTGTTTTTCAAAGCTAGAAAATCGCTCCACAATGCACATACGAGCATTAATCCCTGCTCATAAGGCTGTCATTAAGGGTGAAGCTTACATGAGCAGGTGCTTGGTTCTCAAGGTTGGTTTTTGTATGCTCTGACAATTCACACAGACAACCGATTGGCAGCCAATATACGCTAGACATTGAACATCTTAAATGTACTCTAGTGCTTTTTCCTTTTGGGAAAATAATCAGACTTTGTCTAAATCAATGAAAAGTGTTAGAGAAAATGTCATCAAAACAGTAGACGTAACTTCAGTTTTATTACGACCAAGTGTTTGTGAATGTATCACATCGCATGAGTTGTTCATTTGGGGTGGCAAGCGAGGATACAATCTTACGCTTTCGAATTTATATATTTGAGCTCTGATCAATATTTGGCGATAACACTTCTCTTTGCAGTTTGAAATTTCGTTTTTACAAATACTACATGGGTCGAGCTGGTGAGAAAAAGGCATAGCGAAGTAAAGGAATATACTGACACAGGAAAAGGTAACTATTAGATTTTAATATTGATTGGAGCCCGTAATATGGGGCAGTTTTGGATTTTTTGTGTCGAACGGGAGCAAAACCAGTAGTTTTGCTGTTTCTATTTGTTGTACGCAGTCTAATTACTCCTGTAGTACTGTAAAAGCTTTGCTCATTGACCAAGTTATAAGATGTAAGGCAATGCAGACAGAATGATGCAGTTGATTTCAGATGTTTTGGAAAAACATTTAAGAAAATGCAATACCCGAATGGAAATAAAATTAGAACATATCAGTCAAGAGTTTGAGTTATTGGCAGTGAAATTGCATGATTTGTTAAGTGTATGTCATCTGAAGATAATGGCAAGAAAATAAACGTTTCTCGATAAAAAGTTATTGAGTTTGGCTGGCAGTAAAATAGATCTCAAAACTGAGTGCTTTTAGCCTTTTTTTTTGCTAAAAAACCTACAAAATTCAACAAACAATAGGCGTCACTTTGACTCTAGTTAGTATTAAAGCAAACCAACACCATCGACATGAAACGAGTTGGTTTCTTCTTGTGTTTTCCTTTCTCTTGAGATATTTGAAGGGAAAGTCGAGGGAATAATTGTATCTTGGCTTATTTTTGCCCGAAGTAAGGCCATTTAAACTACAGTATACAAAATAACTTGAGGCTGCCTCTTGTTTGTTTGTAGGTAAAAATCTACTTGTGACTCATGGCGGAAACTGGGATTGTCATGACAATCCTCTTCATACTTGTCTCGGTGGATATCGTGGGGAATTCTCTCGTTTGTGCGATAATATGGAAAAATAGAAATCTCAGGTATGTTAGAGAGTTGCAAGCAGTAGAACCTCTCCTTTAAGGTATCTCTAATTAATGGACACCTCTCCTCTGTGCTTCGTACGGTCTGAATCAGACCGATTATTCTTAAAGCTGCAAAAAGAGTAGGCAAGTATAATATAAAGCGGAAGCGCATAAGAGTTTATCTAAAACAGAATGTGAAAGATAACCTATTTTTTCAGCTTGGTAATGGAATAGTGAAAGACATTTTGTCTTCTTCTCACGAGCTGGGGAAAAGGAGTATATCAGATGATCTGAGTCCGTCAGAGTATTCGAACCTCTGTCTCCCGGCGGTTGAGCACCAGCGCGCTAAAAGACTAAGGTTCTATACCATACGAAGACTATAATAATTAAACTAGCAGGAAGCCAACTTAATGAAACGAACTCGATACCTTTTTGTCATTACTAGTTATTATTTCTTTGCGTATTTTCATCACTATAGGACCCCCATTCATATTCTACTTTTTAACCTTGCTGTGGCGGATGGTCTCTTTGCGTTGTTGATTGCACCAAAACTCATTGTGAGCCTCAATTCAAAGCACCCCGAGGGGACGGGTGGTTCAGTTTTGTGCCTGTTGATAACTGGTGGAGCCTTCGCGTGGGTTGCAGCACTGTGTGCCATTTATACTCTGGTTGCGATTGCCGTCGAAAGATACTATGCAGTCACTGATCCGTATGGCAAGAAATGGAATCTCACTAAGAGAAAACTGAAGGTTCGTTCTGATTCAGTTTTACTGCATTTAAAGTTACGATGGAAACATTAAACAACGCTCTCACAACTAAACTTCGAGCTCTAACACAGGCGAGTAAGCATATTTTTTTGGCATTGGCGTCAGTGAAGTCTCAAATATTTTTTAAAAACTTATTGTGTGTGGTCTAATGAGAGCAATGATCAGTGCGAAGATCGTACTGTCGGACTTCTATCAGCCCAAGGTAGGTGTCCAAAGTCTTGACAGGAAAAACCGAGAAAGATCACCATACACTACAAGGCTAAGTCGATTGTAACTTCTAAACCCAAAAATTTCCTGGAAACTAGATCACTTTCATGAGCACAACGGGTAGAAATAACCTTAAGCGAAGTAGACTTCACTAAATGTGATTGCCGCCAACGTTTCATAACCTGTGGATTTTTTTTTTTAACTTGCATCATGCACCCCTTCTTTGTACTCACCGTAATTAGTATAGTATACATCGAAAGCCGTATAAACAAGGGCACATTTTGGAATTAACAACAAGTCCCATGGGTGCAGGCCCAGAAACATACAGAATATACGGGCAGCTCGTGCAGTTAGTAATGGTAAAAGGACTGAGAGGAGTCCAATTCGGTCTGTAATCATACGAGTGATTAACGAAATCGGACAACCGCGAGGTGGGACTCCGATTTGTTAATTACGAGTATGATTACAGACAGAATTGGACGAAACTAAGTCCTGTTACCGATAAATCAAGACTATGAAAAAATTTGACATAAGACAACCGTCGTTTATACGTTTACATAAAAAAAACAACAACAACGAACAGTAAATTCGGCGAAATGCGCCGCAACAGTACGCGCATGTGCACAGAACACGTGCTGTCAATTACAAAGGCATGACGTGTACACTGTCCAATTACAAGTATGAAGTGTTCATTGTCCTATTAGTGCTCAAAACAGGGTTGATGATATAACATGTCACTTTCCAGAATTTATGATGGTTTTGATTATTATTATCATTGTCATTGACACTGTCACTGTTAGTGTCCCTGACATTATCATAATCACTGATCTTCATCGTTATTATTATTATTGATATAATAATTATCATTTATACTCTTGATTTTTATTCGAACTCCCAAATTTCGACATTTCATTGCAGGTAATGATAATAGCTTTCTGGATCTTAGCCGCAATAGCATGCATCCCCAACACCATGTACATGAGGGTCAATAATGGCCACTGCCATGAAACTTTTCCTAAAGAATGGGTAATCAAGGCTTATACTTTATGGAACACCACCCAAGTATTTGTTGCCTTGTTACTGATGGTCACGTTATACTCCAGAGTCGTGCGCACGTTATGGTTTAAATCAAATATTGTTGCCCACCCTGTGACATCTCAGCAAAAAGTAAGTACCCTTACAAAGTCGTGCGCTATTTGCATAAATAATACAATCCCATTTTCAATTGTATCTCGTTTTTTTTCTTTTGCTTCTGTTTTTTTCTTTTTTAGCTTCCTTTTTTTCCTATTTGAAATCTTCAAGTTTCACTTGCGACAAACTGTTTCGTAGCTAGTATAACGCAAGTATATGACGCTAGTATAATATAATTCGAAGTTCGTATGGGGTTGAGAATGGCTCTACAAAAGGGAGACAGACAGTAGCTAACATCTTGTACTTTAAGACCGATACATTTTAGCGTGATACTCAAACAGTTTGCTAAGTAAATTTGAAAGCAATTTGGTAATTTTCTAGAACGATTTTAAACACCGCGTGATACCTGCCCACGAAAACTTTTTTGCAAGTATTTTACAAGTTTATAAACTCAAAAGAGTATTTTTTTTTTGCGTTTGTTGTCGTTGACGCTGCTTCTTCCTTTTTCGCTTTGCCTTTTGTTTGTATGTTGTCTTTTTTATATTAATTTGGCATTTATTCGTTCCTGTTTGTTGTTGTTGTTTTTTTTTTGGCCAAGAGTAGCGGCACGATTGTTAGATATTACCTTATTCATTCAAGTTTGTTCTGTTTACACGATTTAAGATAGACCAAATGAACACCCAGTTTTTCTTAACCAAACATTTTTGGCCAAAAGATTACCTCGACGAATTTTGCGTTGACAAAAAGTGAAAAAAGGAGGTTCATCGATTTTATTTTCTTCGTGTTGACTTTCTCTTCTCAGGCGTGCGCCCAACTTTCCTAGCACGTGTTTCCCTTGAATTTACCGCAAACTGCCTCATATCATAATAATTTTTGTCAAAAAAAGTAAAAGAGGATTCTAGCAATCTTTAAAATCCTGTACTCGGGCAGTTTATCCTCGTTCTCTTCAACTAACCTCAGTTGGCGCTTTGACGACAGCGTCCGACGATGGAGAAAGAAAAGTAGAACAATTGCTCTGAATTATTTTGTTAAAAGCAGATAAAACAAAATATCACGGTATTTTAACATTTAGAAAGTTTTTGTCTCGATAGTTTTCTTTTAAATGTTTAGAAAATTTCCATTTTTAAAACACTTTTCAATCTTCAGGGTGTAATGAGAGTCCGCAAGCGAGTCACCTTAATGGCTGTGGTTGTCAGTATCATATTTGGAATCTGCTGGGGCACAATCCAGGTTCTTTACACCTTGCATGCTTTCGAGGTTTTTCGGTTGGATAAAGTCGTTATCGCAATTTCCAACATTCTGGTATTGTTTAATTCTACTATCAATCCCTTTGTGTATGCTCTGCTCAGCGAAAACTTCAGACAGAAATTAAAAGGAATGGTCCGATTCCCAAGGGCTACTGTTGGTGCCACAACGGAGCTTCATAACATTGAAGTCCACATTGCAAGAGATAAATCCAACACCCCTGATGTTTCGATCAATACAACAACATCCGTGAGCCAGGAGTAAAAAAAAAAGAACTTTTTTCAAGCAATCATTTAATTAAATAACACGTCATAACTAGACTAGAAAGGCTGGCACTTAGCGTAGAAATTGTTGTGTTTTTTTTGCGGGAAGCTGTACAGATATAGTTCAATTTAGGAATATATATGACAAGATAAAATAATTGGACAATTGTTTTCTCTTGATATGACTGTTTCACTTCTTATTAACCAACACGAAAATAAAAGGGAATGTCGTGCAATAACAGATGTGTTACCCTATTAAAGGATGTGTACAAGTTGAACAATACATATCAAAATAATTGTGCTTTCAAACATCTTGCATTGAATATGTCATTTTGGCTGTTACAAACGCGTTACAGTTAGGCTTACAGACAGTATTTAAGATGCCAGTCGAGCCGTAGAATTGTGGGAAATAGCATGCTTTATCAGAGTTGAACAGGATGCAGAAACCTGACGAGATTGCGCGTTAAATCTTGTACTCGTCAATGCATTTGAGAAACAGTTATAAGGTTCTGGGATTCTGGTCGTCTGGTCGAAAAGTGGCCATATTTATTCTTAGCAGGAATTTGATAGTTAATCAGACCACTCCAAAACTTGATCCTTCAATCTTGATGCGAACAAAAAAAACAAAAAGTTGACCTCTTCTCACAAGCGAGTGGAATTACCCTCTTACTTGCCAGGATAACCCTCCCTTCATGAAAACCACCACTTGAAAAGATCAGATTTGTTATTTTACATTATCTCCATCTCCCCGATTAGTTAACCAAAAACCTCACGTTAAAGCGTACTTATGATGAACGTAAGCAAGTTAAAATGAGCCTTTCGGGTCAGCGTATACGTAGAAGATAGCTTACACGATAACGGTAAGCCAATTATATCAGGAATGTTTGATAAAGGTATCCTAAGCTCTCCTTATTACTGAGCGACAGTAATAGTAACGACAATTATCCATCTTTCTAATTAACGTCATCGACGTAGGAATAAACAAAAGGTTTATAAATCTAAGGTAAGGGAGTTTATATATTGCTTCTTAGCATCTCAAATCTTTAAACCTGAAAGGGTGGTATGTGTTCATTCCTTGTCATATACGTGATATTCGTGCGGCCTTCAAAGCGTTCGTGAACAGCAGCTCGTAAGAACACTAGTTTTTATCGACTTGTTAGCCCAGAGGACAGGCACAACGATGAATGTTGCTGGGAGTGGCGCAAAAGAATTGAACAACCAATCTACTGGTCTTCATCGTCATCTCTTACAGATTGCGAATTTCGCGGTAGTGGTTGAAAAGTAAATCTCAGGTGTACCGACAGTCACGCTTAAGATAGTGGCTTTTACTTTTAAGCTTAATAACTTGTAACCTGCGGGAAGAGCAACATTTACCATCTTTCAGGCCATCCTCCAATAATCTTCAATAACTTATGTCGTACATCTAATGGGGTCAGGGGCCATCTCGGTAATTAGAATAGTCAATTGTCTGTTGTCGCAGGTGTTTTTTCCTCTTTTTTTCTCTCCTTTTCCTTCAGTCTTCTTTTTTGCGTATGATTTCGTGCTTAAGATAAATGCCGATAAAACTTTTCCCTAGTAAAAGAAAATCATGAAAACGTGAGTAAACATTTCGTATGGCATCATAATTTACCCTGTTAAATATACGCTTACACGTTCTTCGTTTCTTTCCAAACACTAAGCGCGTGAAACTCTTTAACCGAACGAGGCAAAAAAATAAGAAACGAAAACCCGTAAACTTTATAATTTGAAGTCTCTGATAGCGATACGATAGTAACTCATCTCTCTACACGAGTATTTAATTCTTTCCATCCTTTTCCGTTTCCGGCGTTGAATATCGTATGGGATCTTAATTAAAAAAAAAAAAAGAAGGACGTGTAAATCAAGTGAGGACAGGTATGTTACGATAATTCAGTTTTCCAAGCTTACGCGCCGATCTACGGCATCGTCAGGGATGACATACATAAACTATTTGTCTTCGAGATTGTTATTTTATGGAGACATAGTTCTGACTCGGTTGAGAATCCTCCTGCGGCAAGAGGCCAGTTTGCTAACATCTGGAATTTATGGATGGACATTTCAGCGCTATGATCAACAAGATTGCTTACATCTTCTGTAACAGTTCGGTGGACAGTCTTTTGGCTGAGAGAGGATGCCGTGTAGAGTTTTCACAAGCAGTATGTTTTGATAAGAGTCTGACCATATTTGTTGTTCACGTAACCTTTCAGACTTTGATGTTTACTCAGCAGGTATTTTTAATTACTTTTTTTAGCGCAATGTCTGTTTGGCCATTAAGCCACTTTACTTATTGAACAGAGCTTTCGTTGCTAGACATAAACAGGATGTTGTTACGAATCAACGCTAAAACAAAGTTCCCTTTGTGTCACTTCACGCGTCTTCTAAAACAGAGCTGACCTATTCGCCAAGATTCTGCTTGATTCGTTGCCGTGATTATCGTGACGGGAGATGATCGATTAAAATGGTCGGTAGAAATAAAAAAAAAAAAAAAAGTAATGGTGCAACAGTTAAGGTAAGGATCTTCCTGATCGAGCAATCTCTCTTTGTGAAATGACGTTGTGTTGCGATATATTGAATTAAGGGGATGTTTCATTAGGTAACTAGTAGGTCAGTCGATGGGATGTTAGTGCTGTTGTCAACAGTCAGTTACAAAAAAAAAAAAAAGCTATTACAAAGAAAACTTTCGATTTTCTTATCCGTTGCTCTTTTTCGGTTTTTTCGATAAAAGTAGGGCTAGCCTTCAGGCCTTTAAAGACTTCTAGTATGCGTCCTTAAAAGGAAAAAGATAATCACAATGCTGAGCTCCAGCGAATGGAGCAAGTTGCCAAATTTAATAGGAAAGGTAATCATTCGGGACATTCAGAATTACCATATATAGCTTGGATTTTATCCATAAGAAACCGTAAATTTAACCAGCTGTTCCTCAATGTAAGATGAAATGCAAACTTTTTTCTGTGGTATATATCCCATGCGTGTCATAAAATGTTAATTAATGAAGCAGACTTTATGGAATTGCCAAAATCCAACTTATAAGCGACAACTAACAGCGGACAGATCTCTGCGCCCCGCAAACTTCTTCGTTTATTGTTTCCAAAACACTTCTACTAATTTAAACGCTGTGATCAACATTAAAATTCAAAGGAGTGTGTGACAACGACTGTAACGTAAATTTAAATGCTCCTACCGTGAGCCTGGCTGAACCAAATAACTTCAACACGTTCGTCGCAGCTACTTGTCGAGTTCAAGCTGTGCTTTGAGAGATTTAAAATTTCACTAAAAAAGCCAGCTGATCGGTTCAGTAAACATGTCAAAGTTCATATTGAAATTTCCTAAATTGCTGCCTCGAGGAGGAATTCGAAACTTTTCAACAATAGTTACTTTTTCAAAATAGCAGCTGTTTCTTCGCCAAAAGAACTTGAATTTCCATGCATTCAGTCGCTCTGTTATCACTTGTAAAGAAAACAATGCTTTCAATCAACGACAGCCAACGAAACCATTTTGCGTATTCGTGTCGACAATGACGTCTGAAAGTATGGCTTAGGCAGGGCGTGAAATTGCGCCTAATACAGGCGGGTTGTGTCCTCGTGTACCGGTACACAAAGGAAGGAAACATTAACGAACTGCGTCATAACTCCATGTATGGTTATGAAAACAAAAGGAATTCCCTCGTGTACCGGTACACCAGGACAACCCCTACAGGCGCCAATGCGACTAAATTTTTCACTTTGGCGACCAAATCCTGAAAGTTAGTCGCCAAATTGGCGACTAGAACGTTTCGTCATAACCTTACCAAGAGATATAGTGAATTAAAAAGACTTGCAAAGAGAAATCCGCGGCAATCTTCCTCGTTTAGTTTGTTTCCAAAACGTAGCACATGCATCTCGATCGATAACTAGACGCCATCTTGGATTTAGAGGAGCCTGAACGTTGTATATCATCCATCCTAGTGTCCACTTTGCAGCAGGTTAAAGAATCTTTTCCCTAACGTAATTTTGGAGGGTCTATCTAGAACGCTGACAGCGTAAAGAAAGATTTTGTTTGTCTTTGAAAATGGCGACCAACTTTTTTGAATTGGCTACCACTTTGAAGAATTTAGGAGCCAAGTGGCTATCAGAAAAAAAAAAGTTAATTTCACGCCCTGTTAGGGGGCCTAAAGCAAGGTGTTTTAAGATGATTCAAATGACATTTTCAAAGTTGTTAAGAAGGAGTTAAACTCGAAAAAATGATCTCAAGATAAGTGTTTTACTTTTCAATCGAAATCTTAGTTTCTTAACCAATACCATGGACCCACTGCAAAAGATTAAAAAATTCCATGGAGGTTCCCGCTGCGCAATATTTGTGATATCTACCGACTGTCAGATTGTAAGGTTGTTAAAGCAAGATTCAGGTGGCAGGATTCAAAGTTTATCACCGTAACTTCCTCTCCCTTCGCCTTTAAAGCTCAACTGTGACCAGGGGAAACTTTAGGTTGCATCGCGTAAGTAAAAAACCTTGAAATCTTGTTCACCTTTAGGAGCCTGGTTGTGATTTGTAATATTATATTTAATTTTGAATTTATTGTTCACGCATGCAATGATTGATCATGATGGTGAACCACAAACAGAGATGGGTGTATTTCTTTCTAAGACCTGTCGTTCTGTTTGGAACTCTGTATTTGATATGCTAATCAACTTGATTTCGCTTAAAAGTCCGTCACAACTCCATTATTTATTTCCACGTTTTGGCACAGGTAGCCCAAGCTTGTTATGAAGCAAAGGGATTTGCGGAAGAGAACCAACCCGTTGTATTCAGAGACCACAACAATGTCCGAGTTTAGGCTTAAGTAAAGTGACTCACGTCGCTGCAGTTTTAAGTTCCTGTATAGGATTTATAGAAAAAAATAGGAGCTCCGAACTAACCCCGAGACTTGCTGTTAATCGTCCCAAAAACCATAACAGAAAGAGGAAAAAACGATAGGTATGAAGTCCGGTTATTATGTTATTGTGTAACATATATTTTGGGGGTTTCTGATTAAAAACATGCAAAAGTTTTTCACGTATCGTCTCCACATGCACGTGTTACTTTGTGTTTCGTTGAGCTTTCTGCTAGGTCTGTAAGGGCGGGGGGCGGGTAGGGCTGGTCAATTTCATTTGAGTATTTGTCTGTTTGTTCTTTCCTACGTTCATGCTTTTTAGCCCTGTTTCTACGCTATTGTTTGTTGTTTGGTCATAATAAAGTTTAATATATTCACAGTAGATCTCCTCAAAGTTTTCCTGTTTAGTTGCTGAAAAGTTTTGAAAATATACTTTACCATAGGAAAGCTCATCGATCAAATTTCACCCAACCAATCACAGTTGTTAGATGAACCCTGGAAGCCTACAAATCATACGAGGAATGGCAAACAG